TAAAGTTTCACCATTCATAGCTATTACCCTCCGGTAATTTAACATAGCTATGGAAAACCACCATGCTATTCATGGGAAAATCAACTATTTCTATGGCCATTTTCACTCGCTTTTTCTATGTTTACCGGGCCGGGTAAGGCCATCATTCTACCCATCGCTGCGCCTGGCAGCGGTCCAGTTGTGAGTCCTCGGGATCACTCCAATCCTGGAAGTACCTCGCGAGAAATCCGTGAAGTTTTTTGGGCTCAGGATGGGTACCCTCTGGAAATTTAACATAGCCATGGAAAATCACCCATAGAAATAGATGATTTACCTATTAAAAATGGTGATTTTCCATGGCTATGTTAAATTTCCAGAGGGTAAATAATGGATTTACTAATGGATTACTCATGGATGATAAATGGATTTACTCATGGGAATTATCAATGACTTTAATGGGAATTATCAGGCTTATTTCATTTTAGTCATTGATAATTCCCACTATATTATCCATTGAAATCATCCATTAGTAATATCCATATATCATCCATATATCCATATTTTCATCGACAAATCCATTGAAATCATCCATGAGGAATCCATTATATTAGTAAACCCATTGAAATCTGTTCCATAGGGATGATCGAATATCACCAGCCAGGCCCCCATCAATGATGGTCCACTGTGAATTCCTTGGGATGAACCGAAAAATGATGGAGTTCGTCAGTTGGGAGTATGACATTCCCAAAATATGGAAAAATACCCTCTGGTAAATTAACATAGACCCTTTTTAGTCATCGGGGTTGGAAGATTGGTTTCCATTAAAGCTAGGCTATTTTCAGGGTCAACAAGTTAATTTACCAGAGGGTACCAGCTTTTGATGAGCAAAGGGTAACATTTCTGGTTGGTGGTTGACCTACCCCTCTGAAAAATCATGGAGTGAAAGTCAACTGGGAAGGATGACATCCCATCTATCATGGAAAATAAAATGTTTCAAACCACCAGAGTTTTGAGCAACTGGGCGAAGCAAATGACCAGTTTTTTTTGGTCACCGTCTTCATGGCGAAATAGAAATCACCAGGATCTACGAAAGATACTGCTGGGATGTTCCTCAAAGCAAGGATTGCTGGTACCCGACCTGGTAAACATATGTAAACATACAAAAAACGATGGAAAATCACCATGCTATTAATGGGTAAATCAACGATAAATGACCTTGCAATAGCTATGATAGTTTACCAGAGGGTAACAAAGGTATAGATCTAGGCTAGTTCATCATAATCCGCGTTTCCGCCGTTGGCTCCAATCCATTGGTTGCTCATATCAGACCAACCCAACTGGAGGTCGCGTTGTGTTATTTAGGGATCTCTCATGGCAAGTGACCCTCTGATGATCTCATATCTCATGCTTTCTCTCCCCAATCATCCATCCATTCCAAAAAGATTATATATATATATATATTAAGTGGATTTTACATCCCAATTGTCTTCCCACCATGAATGGGTAATAAATCCCAATCGACATGGACCATGGGTTATAAATAACTAACACCGTGACTAAGTAATTGGTTATACATCCATGTCACTTCCGAATCATATCTCCATTGTTTGGTTACAAATGGAGGTTTCCTAAAACGGGGTACCCCCCAAATCATCCAGTCGTCATGGATGACCATGACATACCATGACTTAGTATAGGTTAACTCATGGTGCCGATCCCCCATGACTTAAGAAGCCCACTGATATATCTACATATATACATATCATACATATGTATGTTATTGATATTATTAATGTATATCTAGATCTCTCTCTCTCTCTTCCTATTATATGTATATGATCCCATAGATGGGATATTTTTTTCCCCACATTGACGTGTGGGGTTTTTGTTTTTAGTTCTGTATCCGCTCCTCCTCCCGCCGCCTCGCCTCACTCACTCACTCACTCACTCACTCACTCACTCACTCACTCACTCACTCACTCACTCACCTCACACACACTCACTCACTCACCTCACACACACTCACTCACTCACTCACTCACACACACTCACTCACACTCACACTCACTCACACACACTCACTCACTCACTCACACACTCACTCACTCACCTCACACTCACACTCACTCACACACTCACTCACTCACTCACTCACTCCTCACTCACTCACTCACTCACTCACTCACTCACTCACTCACTCACTCACTCACTCACTCACTCACTCACTCACTCACTCACTCACCTCCTCACTCATCTCACTCACTCACTCCCTCATCTCACTCACTCACTCACTCACTCACTCCGCTCACTCACTCACTCACTCACTCACACTCACTCATCACTCACTCACCTCCTCACTCATCTCATCTTATCTCACTCACTCACTCCCTCACTCACTCACTCACTCACTCACTCACTCCCTCACCTCACTCACTCACTCACTCACTCACTCACTCACTCACTCACCTCCTCACTCATCTCACTCACTCCCTCACTCCCTCACCTCCTCACTCATCTCATCTTATCTCACTCACTCACTCCCTCACTCACTCACTCACTCACTCCACTCACTCACTCACTCACTCACTCACTCGCAGGGGGGCTCCGCCTCTTTTGCGTGGCAGGCGTGGGACAATGTGCACTGCCAAGGGGTCGGATGTACGCCCTGGCGTCCCTCCGGTGTCCCTTGGTCTCCGCCGCTTTTGCGTGGCAGGCGTGAGACAATGTGCACTGCCAAGGGGTCGGATGTACGCCCTGGCGTCCCTCCGGTGTCCCTCTGGTGTCCCTTGGTCTCCGCCTCTTTTGCGTGGCAGGCGTGGGACAAAGTGCACTGCCAAAGGGGTCGGATGTACGCCCTGGCGTCCCTCCGGTGTCCTTGGTTCTCGCCGCATTTTTGAGAGGCAGAGGCGGGGGACAACGTCACTGCCAAGGGGTCGGATGTACGCCCTGGCGTCCCTCCGGTGTCCCTTGGTCTCCGCCGCTTTTGCGTGGCAGGCGTGGGACAACGTGCACTGCCAAGGGGTCGGATGTACGCCCTGGCGTCCCTCCGGTGTCCCTTGGTCTCCGCCGCTTTTTCGTGGCAGGCGTGGGACAATGTGCACTGCCAAGGGGTCGGATGTACGCCCTGGCGTCCCTTGGTCTCCGCCTCTTTTGCGTGGCAGGCGTGGGACAATGTGCACTGCCAAGGGGTCGGATGTACGCCCTGGCGTCCCTTGGTCTCCGCCTCTTTTGCGTGGCAGGCGTGGGACAATGTGCACTGCCAAGGGGTCGGATGTACGCCCTGGCGTCCCTCCGGTGTCCCTCCGGTGTCCCTTGGTCTCCGCCGCTTTTGCGTGGCAGGCGTGGGACAACGTGCACTGCCAAGGGGTCGGATGTACGCCCTGGCGTCCCTCCGGTGTCCCTTGGTCTCCGCCGCTTTTGCGTGGCAGGCGTGGGACAACGTGCGCTGCCAAGGGGTCGGATGTACGCCCTGGCGTCCCTCCGGTGTCCCTTGGTCTCCGCCGCTTTTGCGTGGCAGGCGTGGGACAACGTGCACTGCCAAGGGGCTCCGCCTCTTTTGCGTGGCAGGCGTGGGACTCACCTCCTCACTCATCTCATCTCATCTCATCTCACACTCGCTCACTCACTCACTCACTCACTCACTCACTCACTCACTCACTCACTCACTCAGTCACTCACTCACTCACTCACTCACTCCCTCACTCGCTCACTCCCTCGCTCCCTCACTCACTCACTCCCTCCCTCACTCCACTCACTCACTCACTCACTCACTCACTCACTCACGCACTCACTCACTCACTCACTCACTCACTCACTCACTCACTCACTCACTCACACACACAACTCACACAACTCACACAACTCACACAACTCACACAACTCACACAATCCATCTACTCACTCCCTCACTCACTCCCTCCCTCCCTCACTCACTGTACTTGAACATACATACACACACACACACACAAACTCACCTACCTACATACATACCTACATACATACCACCATCGTCCCTCCATCACTCTCATACTTCCTCTTCCCTTCTCGCTTTCTCTGCTCAGTCTAAGTCTAAAGAAGTTGGTAACATGTGGGGTTATCCGGTCCTTTAATTGTATATTTCATCAGCTATTCAAATCCTCGCCATGTCCCGCCTATGCTGCAATGCCTCTGGGCAGCTGCAACGTTTTCGAGGATCGAACACCACCTGAAGTCGAAAAAGGTGGCGCCATCGCCATGGCAAGCCCAAAAAGATGGGTAATATTTAATGATAATGGTACCATATTGTTAATGTTAATGATATATGCTACCAATAATCACAATGGTAATATCAATAATAGCCAACGGGTGTTTACAAATCATGTAACTCAGAAAGATCATTGCCACATTTTTTTCGAGTTCGCCAGTTGGGATGATAAAAATCCATGGTTCCAAAGCACCAACCAAACGGGTGTGGGTAAATTCCTATGGCACATTGAGTTCATATCTCACTATATGTATTAATGTACACATGATATATAACTATCATGATAACTATCATGATATATAACTATCATGGGATGTATATAACGAGCACTTATATCATATATCATATATCATATGTTTTGGATCTTTTTTTGGGGTTTATACCATCATCATGGGGATCTACACAGCAAGTAGGGCTCTTGCAGCAACAGGCATAGAATCAAGCAGAAGATGGTGATATGATGTGGATGTAAATGGATATTACCATTATGGTAATGCAATATGGTGATATGATGTGCATGATATCCATTTGGATATACTGTATTGGATATATATATATTACCATCACTATATGTGGATATAATGCAATATGATGGAATATTACAATATGAAGGTAATGGCATTAATCATAGAACATAGTGGAAAATCACGGAATATAGTAGAATACAATGGAACATACAACCATCAATGTGATGTGGTGAAGCAACGAATAGCACCCCTTGTTCTTTGAGGTTTTAACAACTTCCCCTGAGTTTGAGTGGTGTGATAATCCGTCATGGTTGACTATTTGGTTTACCGCATTGTGTTGACAAAGGGATGTTCATATTGATGCCATCCCTTAACCATCTGGAATTTTATTATAGCTATGGAACAGCAGCCATTTTTTAATAGCCAAATCATCGAAAGAAAGTTGGTGTTACTATTCCCAATATACGGAACGTCATAAAACATGTTCCAAACCACCAACCAGAAAATGCTGATGACTTCGGGATGGTTTATGAAATTGGGTTTGCCACATCACATTGCGAGGCAATCCGCCTGATTTCTTGGTGAAACCCCTCTGAGAATCCACCCACATTTTCTCGCAGTTCCACATGTCAACGGAAAATCATCATTTTCGACAACGATAATGACGAATATAGGAACGTCATCTATCAATAGGGGATTTTCCATTTATCTCAAGAGATCAACCGGTAACCCAAAACATGATCGTTTTGTGATCTCTTTTGGGATGGTACCACTTCAATTCCCACTTTTCCTCTCACGACTGAGGCAACAAAAGTCCAAGAACAAGGGCTTTCTGTCACGTTTTGAGCCAAGAGACCAGGGAAGTTAAGAGTTCCCCTGCATTGCCGCATTTCTGAGCCCAATCCTCTCTTGGGCCCTTGGGCAATTGACCCTCAGCGACTCAGCGCTGCTGCGATGAGGGCCGTGGGGGAGCCTGGGAACCTGGATTTCTGACCGGTAACCCTCTTCATATTAAACACCCCCACCTGGATGATCTATAACTTTGATCAATTCTGGCAAAATGACTCCCCCCAAAAAGGATTATATATTGATTATATTGAATTATATATTGAATTAAAATACCACAGTTGGAATTTCCAATGAATATCCCATGTATGTCATCCATAAAAAACCCATTAAGCGAGCAGGCGAGCAGCAATAAAATTTCGCGCACGGTCCATCAGCACCCAATCCATGTCTGCTTCACCGGGATTTCCTGACAGCCGATGAATATCAAGTTTTTTGACTGTAAAATGATGGAAAATGCAGGAGTTTTTTTTTGCGAAAATTCAATGGTTTTCTTAAAACAATAGGAACATGTGACTTCGAAGTAACAAAGCGAGGTGAATCTTCCCTGATTTTATCGGCTAACCTGATGAGCTATCATGCGCAAAACACAACAATTTTCAGGATATCAAATATATTGCTTCATCATGGCACCCGCAACAAAACCAAGTTAATTCACCCATCACCATTCAAACTTTTCACCCAGGTCTACGGTAAAACAGCTGTGGTCGACCACAGCTTTCCACCTGTTCCACTGCCACGGCCTAAAAGTTTCACGATGCTGGAGATATGACGCACATAATCTGGGGAGGTGAATAAGGGTTTCCGCTGATACCTCGGCAGCGAGGATGCCCTGGTGGTCCGAATGTTTGAGCTGTCTTTTAGTGGATATGTTACTGCATGTTACTGCACTATGACAGACATCTTTGGTGCTTCTATGGACGCTGAACAGCAAATTCTATGCGGAACATTCAAAACGAAGCCCTAAACATGGACGGAATAGATGACATGTAGGGCAATGTTGGAATGTTCTCACACGCAATCTTGGGGGTCTTTCATTTTGACCTATGCCCACACGTCAAACCCGAAATGTATAGTGGTCAAACACAGTTTCTGTTGAGCCACTCCGGATGCAATCACCGGGCAGTCTTGTTGGCGATGTATTGGCGATGTACTCTTGAAGACATTTTAAAGGATACTAAGGATACTTTTTGTTCTCTGCCCAATTTGTTGAGGGCAAGTTCTCCATATGAGGTACTGTTGAGACTGTGGTAGATCACTTGAGTAGGAGTGCTCACTGTGTCTCGAAAGTGTGTTTCCAAACACTGAAACCCCAAAAAGTCCCATGAGTTTTGCACAAATAAAGTCCACATCTGAAGTTCTTCCATGTAAAAACTCGTGCACCGAGGCAACATCAGAAAGCCCATGAAAGCCCCTCTTTGGACTTGGTGAACGTCTCGAAAAAAACGAATCTCAGCGAGCGGCATTTCGAATAAGATGCAGCCAAACGCCCATGCCTCGGGAGAAAAAAATGGATGTCTTCCACAGTAGGTGGTACCCTCTGGTTCTTTAACATAGCCATGGAAGCCATGGCCCATAGAAATAGATGGTTTACCTATTAATAGCATGGGGATTTTCCATGGCTATGTTAAATAACCAGATGGTAAGTGGAAAAAAGATATGGGGATTTGATTGATTTGACCCTCCACTTTTTGCGGATGATGACTTGATAACATTTGGATATTTTTTATGCGGGCTTACAAACGATGGGAAGATTGTATAAGATTCTGAGCGTAACTACCCTCTGGTAAACTAACATAGCTATTGAACATGGTCATAGAAATAGTGAGTTTTCCCATTGATAGCATTGTGATTTTCCAGTTATGTAAACGTTTAGACCACCAGGACGATGGGAGGGGTCCCCATCGATAACAAGCCTCCAATACTGTCCCCCCATGTATCTCCTCACTATATTCCCATTCAATTGTGATATCAATCATTAACCACCACCATTTCCATATTTTTAAGGGGTCATTTTTAACGGTCGCCAAACCCCCTTCCGATTCTGACCTAGTAGCACTGCATTGTAATTGTATCACTGGATTACAACATACCCAATCTGTTTGCAACCAGCACATAAGCCATGTTCCAAGCAAACAAGAGGGTTATAGTCCCAGTTCTAATTGAAGAAATCCCACTTACCCTGCTTATAACTGGGGTTATAGTCCCACTTACCTCTCTGGGTTGAAGCACCAAGTAACCCATTAAAATTTACTGGTAAATAAACATAGACCCTGAAAATCACCAATTTTTAATGGAAACTAGTCTTCCAACCCCTATCTGCCAGGGTCTATGTTAATTTACCAGAAGGTAAATCCCACGAAATCTCCCCATGAAACCATCATTTTCCTACAGATTCCGATGCTCCTGCCGTGGCGAATTCATAAAACCGAGACGCATCACAGGCGCCCGTCAGCGGCATCACTTCCCAGTCCTGCTGAATTCACCCGGCCTGGTAAACATACAAAAAACTTTTGGAAATGGTGATTTATAATGGATTTACCCATTAATAGCATGGTGATTTTCCATCGTTTTTTGTATGTTTACCAGAGGGTAGGGCTTCCATGTTGACCATTGCTGGTTGGTGGTATACCTACCCCTCTGAAAAATATGAGTTCGTCAGTTGGGACTATGAAATTCCCAATATATGGAAAGTCATAAAACATGTTCCAAAGCACCAACCAGATTGTTTTTTTCTCCTAACATGACAAACAACTTGGACGATTTTGGGACCATTTTAGGAAACACCCAAACATTACATGGTGCTGAATTCTAATGATGCACTCACCTGAAAAGTTCGGCCATTTTCTGATAGTTTATCCTACTAACCATCATTCCAGTGACGTTGCGGTGTGGTTTTTTGTTAATTCAGCCAGATGAATAACTCATGAGGTTTCATACTGATTTTGGACTTTTTTTGGAGGAAATACCGAAAGGGTTCCGTACGGATGCCTGGATACATTCCGCAGAATTTTGTCAACAATGTCATCAGGATGAATCTCATCCCCCAAATTTAGAGATCCAATATTGTTATATATTTTTCACAAGGTTCTGGTGGGGCTTAAGAGTAAGAGATGATCACATTTTTACAATACACCCCCAGAATACAGAGACGGGACTATTTTAGTAGAATTTAATGGGTAGAACATCACTATTGTATACATGCATTTTTTTCAAGAATACGATTTACCATTTGGGAATCACATATCAAAGCCTATAAAATTAAAACCCTATGTCAAACCCAATATGGTTTGTAACCACAATCTTTTTAATCATTTTAGTGGGATTTAATGAGTAGAAAACAATTCCGACTATTTTCATCATCGTTACTCTCATCACACAAAATCATTTACCAGTATTTTAGTACAGGATGGGGCCCCCGTTCGTTGTTGCGTTCAGTTGCCTAAAAAAAAAGGCCGATTTCTATGGTTTATGATATAACGAACTAGTATTCATGGATATATTCATGGGGTTAACCAACACATCACTGGGCACCATCCTTTAGGATTTTCATGGATTTTATTCATCACTTGGGGTCCCATGGCCATCGGTCAGCACGGTCATTGTTGAGGATCAGCTCGGGCGCACGATACCAGCGTGCTGTATCGCTGTCGCTGGCTTCTCCTGCGGGATGGCGAAGTTGGTGAGAACTAGGTGAATTCTATGGTTTAAGGCTTACCTGGTAGGGTCCCCTATGGTTTATGGATGTGTATGGTAGATAAATGTAGATAATTACATCTATCTGTTTATAAAGCAACTTATTTTTTGGATTAATGGGATGATGTGGATTGATATAGTCATGGATAATTATGAGATACCCTCTGGTAATTTCACATAGCTTTAGAAAATCACCATGTTTTTTTTTCGGAACGGTAAACCATCTATTTCGATTGGGACCATGGCTTACCATTTTCCACTTCGCAAAATTTGTATGTTTACCAGGCCGGGTAATTAAAAAGTGAACCATCCCCAAGTTCTTTTGGATTATGGGTATACCCCCAGATGGTTCCGCCGCTTGGTGGGGGCTACCTACCCCTCTGAAAAATGTGGAGTGAGTAACAATGGGAAGGATGACATCTCATATATGAAATGGAAAATTAAACATGTTCCAAACCACCAACCAGAAGTTTATTTGTTTCATGAGCAGTAAGAGAGTAGCATGATACATAGGTCAAACATTCCAGCAACCAACTCAAATGTGCAGTAAATGGCTGTAACAACCGTAGTACTTCACCCATCTCTGGGATATACCGATATACCGCTGCGAAGCACGTGCCTCCAATGGCTTGAGCATCCCAGAGTTCGGACAACTTCACGTGGCAATTCCTCGAAAAAAATGGCAAGGGATTTACAAATGACAGGGATTTTAAAAGCTAGAAAACGAGGGGTTTTGAAATCAACTAGGGATTGAAGTAGCAAACATAATGGATTTAACTCATCAAAATGCTTCAGGAGAATCGGGGAATGCTCTATCAAATGGTGGAATTTTAAGATCCAAAGCGGCGGTATCAACCATACTTTGGGAATATAGTATATTATATTTGACATGTTTAAGCCTACGGGTTGAAAACTGTCCGAGCGTTTTAGGCATTTTTATATATGTTCCTTGGGGTGGGGTGGGGTGGGGTAATAACGTTCACGTACTTGCCAGTGTTCCCGATCAGTTGACATCTTGCCCAGTAAACGAACAAAAATTGAATGACCTCATTTGGACGTACGTTCGCACATGGCAGTGGCGATGGGAGGCAAATGTAGTTGGAAAAGCGCTGTTGGAGAAAACAGGTGCGTACTTAGCGAAGATGTAGAGATCACCCGAAAAAATGGCTGCCGCTGAGGTTTTGGGCACGCTGACTTCCCAAAAGGAACCTTTTTCGCACTCCGACATGTCAACTATATACAGTAAATCCCAATGAAAATTCAAAATCACAATAGAATTGACCTTCATGGACAACATAGAAACATGAAAAAACACTGCGAAACGCATGATTGACTTCTTGCCAGTCACATGAAAATGCTGTTTTTACTCGGCCCATTTCCAACCCGGCGGGATGTTTAACGTTAAACACGTTGAAGCAGAACTGGTCCCATGGATATTTGCTGGCTTCATCCCCTCAAAATCTACAGCTCAGCGTCCGATTCACCAGCACGCTGCGTGGTCGGAGTCTCTGATGCACCACGTTGGCGGAGTGGAGGTAGCTCAACCCCCTGGCGAAAAAAAACAGCGAGGCTCGAAAGTTCAGCCATAAGACATGTGGAAAATGGTGGAAAATGGCTAACATCAATGTCTTAGTCCTTAACAATGTTGGAAACCATGGGATTTGTTAGCCAGCAACTTAGACATGGGATTTTATCATCTCAAGGAAGATGAGCTCAGTTACAGCAACAACAGCTGCTCTCAGCAGTAACAGCCATGGATTTAAGTGCCAGGTCAAGGGAATCAGTGGCTCAACCAGCGGGATCAGTTACCCTCTGGTTATGTCAAAATAGCGAACTGGAAAATCACCATGCTATTTTCATGGGAACATCCACTATTTCGACTGGGCCATTTTAAATAGCTGTGTTAGTTTACCAGAGGGTATTCACCAGCTATCCAACCGTGACTCTACTTGAAGGATCCCGCGCTTAGAGAAAGTGCGTGCAAGCTTCGTCCCCATGACTCGTGGAATATCCCAAGTCGTGCAATTTTTTTGGCTGAGCCGCATCCCATGGAAAAATTACCACACCAACCGCTAGGATGATCCGCCAAGATCCCATGGTCAATCTTAGATACTCTGCGAAAATCAGACGGTGCAGACGGTGCCCCCTCGGTGAGTAAACGAACAGTTTGCGAACTGGAAAATCACCATTTTGAATGGGAAAATCAACTATTTCGACTGGGCCATTTTCAAGTTCGTCAACTGTTGCTTTACCGGAGGCTATGTCGATAGTCGCCGGCTGGAAAATCCACATCAATGATTCAAGCTTTCAATGGAATTCTATCATCGATCCATGGTGGTTTAAATGTTTAAATCCCCTACAAATGAAGGTTATAGCTGGGAAAATCCACATTTTTTATGGGTAAATCATCTATTTCGACTAGGGCCATCTGTACCATGGCTATGTTAAATAACCAGAGGGTATAACATACTATAAATCGTGGATTTTCCAGCGTGCCACGCTTGATGACACCGGAGGGTATGTCGTAATATCTCCCCATCAAGATGGCAATTGAAGATTGATGGCAACCAATACTTGCCCTTCACATTTGTGGATTTGCGCATCCCACACCATTAGGGATTCCTATTCACTCCTTTCTTCCTGGGAGTCATCCCCCTCTTGCAGCATTTTCAACAGCTTCCCAGTCGTTACAACATCCCAGCTACAGTAACTATCATTTCTAGCCCAAAAAAGCCAACTGATGGTTCAAATCTCATGCTTTTTTCGCGTAACAAAAACCCAGGTTCCCAAGCTGCACCCAATGGATTTTACTATTTTGCCCCCATCCCGGCAGCCTGAGCATTTGATAGCTAAGGTATTGGCAATGCTCCTCTGATAACTCCTGTTTGCTCCTGGCATGACTCCAAGACTCCGAAAAGGGGGCTGGGGATGCCGAAAATGGACATGTTCCTGAGGAAAACATGAGAAAAATGACTGGAAGGACTGGAGAACCCCGCTATATCCCTTTGAAAATTCTATCCCAATAGAGTATCTCCACTGTCCTTGGTTCGATCCCTTGTAAAATCAGCCTGTTTTCAACAATCCAATATTTCCTGAACTCTTCAAACTTGGCAATCTTACCGTTGCTAATTCCGTAGGTTTCATGGGGCCCCATGATCCATAACTGTCAACGGATCATCCCAGCAACCCCCATGAAACCTACGTTTAGCACAGCACCAGTAAGATTGATCAGATCCCGTTTTTGCATCGGAACCCAAGAATTGATGATTTAAACACATGGTTTATCGTGGTTATATCATATCATGAATCACCATCACCAGAAATCAGCTGTTATCACCATCACAATTCATAATCACCATTAATCACCGTCATGAATCATAGGTGACTGACAATGGTATTATCATTTCTCACTGGTTCATTAATCATTAATGTTACCATCATACAGGATGGTGCCCCCCAGTGATGTGAATTTTGGTTTCTAAAGCCCATGAATACATCCATTACCTCTAGTTATATCTACTATAACATCCATTAACTCTAGTTATATCTACTATAAAATCCATTAACTCTAGTTATATCTACTATAAAATCCATTAACTCTAGTTATATCTACTATAAAATCCATTAACTCTAGTTATATCTACTATAAAATCCATTAACTCTAGTTATATCTACTATAACATCCATTAACTCTAGTTATATCTACTATAAAATCCATTAACTCTAGTTATATCTACTATAAAATCCATTAACTCTAGTTATATCTACTATAAAATCCATTAACTCTAGTTATATCTACTATAACATCCATTACCTCTAGTTATATCTACTATAACATCCATTAACTCTAGTTATATCTACTATAAAATCCATTAACTCTAGTTATATCTACTATAAAATCCATTAACTCTAGTTATATCTACTATAAAATCCATTAACTCTAGTTATATCTACTATAACATCCATTAACTCTAGTTATATCTACTATAAAATCCATTAACTCTAGTTATATCTACGATAAAATCCATTAACTCTAGTTATATCTACTATAACACCCATTAACTCTAGTTATATCTACTATAACATCCATTAACTCTAGTTATATCTACTATAAAATCCATTAACTCTAGTTATATCTACTATAAAATCCATTAACTCTAGTTATATCTACTATAAAATCCATTAACTCTAGTTATATCTACTAGGAAAACATGAGAAAAATGACTGGAAGGACTGGAGAACCCCGCTATATCCCTTTGAAAATTCTATCCCAATAGAGTATCTCCACTGTCCTTGGTTCGATCCCTTGTAAAATCAGCCTGTTTTCAACAATCCAATATTTCCTGAACTCTTCAAACTTGGCAATCTTACCGTTGCTAATTCCGTAGGTTTCATGGGGCCCCATGATCCATAACTGTCAACGGATCATCCCAGCAACCCCCATGAAACCTACGTTTAGCACAGCACCAGTAAGATTGATCAGATCCCGTTTTTGCATCGGAACCCAAGAATTGATGATTTAAACACATGGTTTATCGTGGTTATATCATATCATGAATCACCATCACCAGAAATCAGCTGTTATCACCATCACAATTCATAATCACCATTAATCACCGTCATGAATCATAGGTGACTGACAATGGTATTATCATTTCTCACTGGTTCATTAATCATTAATGTTACCATCATACAGGATGGTGCCCCCCAGTGATGTGAATTTTGGTTTCTAAAGCCCATGAATACATCCATTACCTCTAGTTATATCTACTATAAAATCCATTAACTCTAGTTATATCTACTATAAAATCCATTAACTCTAGTTATATCTACTATAAAATCCATTAACTCTAGTTATATCTACTATAAAATCCATTAACTCTAGTTATATCTACTATAAATCCATTAACTCTAGTTATATCTACTATAACATCCATTACCTCTAGTTATATCTACTATAAAATCCATTAACTCTAGTTATATCTACTATAAAATCCATTAACTCTAGTTATATCTACTATAAAATCCATTAACTCTAGTTATATCTACTATAAAATCCATTAACTCTAGTTATATCTACTATAACATCCATTAACTCTAGTTATATCTACTATAAAATCCATTAACTCTAGTTATATCTACTATAAAATCCATTAACTCTAGTTATATCTACTATAACATCCATTAACTCTAGTTATATCTACTATAAAATCCATTAACTCTAGTTATATCTACTATAAAATCCATTAACTCTAGTTATATCTACTATAAAATCCATTAACTCTAGTTATATCTACTATAAAATCCATTAACTCTAGTTATATCTACTATAAACCATAGAATTCAGCCATCCTCTAGGGCCCCACTTCCATCCCGTCCCAAACTTCCCAACTTCCCACCGCAAGACTTGACCGAGATCTGTCTCCAAATGCTCCACGATGAAACCTGCATGGAGGGTGAACCATCGAATTCAGCCATCCAAAAAGCCAGGTTTCTCCAAAGATGGAGCTGATGACCAAAGAGTAGACTTATAGTATATCATTGATCAATATTACAGTATTATCATCATCAGGTAATGGTTATTATATGGCTATTCTGGTTAATATATGGTTAATATATGGATAATATATGGCTAATGATGGTGAATAATCACCTGGTTGGTGGTTGAGGCTACCCCTCTGAAAAATCATGGAGTGAAAGTCAGTTGGGATTATGAAATTCCCAACTGAATGGAAAAATAAACATGTTCCAGTCACCACCAACCAGATTAGGTTCAATCTCCAAAGATGTTGACACAGTTGACACCATGAAACACACAGGTTTAACCAGGATTTTTTGGGTGAACATGATCAACAAACGCACGCACTACCCTTCGCTTTGGTCAGAAGTCACCAAGCACAACAGCCTCACCATCCCCATTTTTTGGGGGGAATCAATACTCTTGCTCCAATCCCACATGGACATTTCTGAAAATAGGATACTGCAACTGGTTGGTGGTTGAGCCCTACCCCTCTGAAAAATATGCGAACGTCAGTTGGGATGATGAAAGTCCCAACTGAATGGAAACATATAAAATGTTCCAAACCACCAACCAGGCAATATACTGTACCGCAATTGTAATACTTGATCATTCTCGATCCCGACATTGTCACTTTGAGTTATTTTAAAAGCATTTTTGGACAACACCATAGATCACATCGTTGGTTACACATATCATGATATGAAGTAAATATGCACCGCAACATATCAACATTGTTGGTTTACCATCATTATCGTTAAAACCCACCACCTTCAATCACATTCTACAAAGAATCGCTCACCGAGCCACAAAAGTCCTTGAAGTCTGGGGTGGCTGGGGGAAGAAAGTCAACCAGCTTCAAGAGGTTCTCGTGGTTCAATTCTTGCAACAAATAAATCCTCGGAACAGGTGCAGGTGAAACATCCTGGGGAGAGAAAGAAACTCTGCGCATTTTGATCCTGTGGCACATCGTGGCACATCTTTTTCGCGGTATGTGCGGTTATATGTACATGGGTTTTCATATCTTTTCTTTGGCTCACCCGAAGGCACCAAGCTAAACCTGGGTTCTCGCTTTCAAAGAAACCAATTACACTACCATCTGGTTATTTAGCGGTTCGCCATGGAAAATCATCATGTTTAATAGGTAAGCCATCTATAAATGGGCTATTTTCCACGGCCAACCGTTAAATAACCAGAGGGTAGTTTTTTTTTTTAAGAAAGCTGATTCCAAGCCATTTGTAATTGAGAATACTTTAGAACTCACCAACTTATGGCTGATATTTCACCAAGAACAACGAACTATCCATCAGTTGACTTGGAGGTGCATGCCAGTTCAGTGCTTCATCTTTTCCCTATATATACGTGAGGTTATATCCCATACACAACTGGGTGAACTGTGCCTATGCGCCAGCTGCACGCCCTGTATGCTGAGCTTTGAAACAACCAATTTTTGAAACTGTTCCAATTGGTGTATTCATATGTATTAATGGTATATCAATGACGCCCAATGGCCAGTTGTACGTGGGGTAAAAAAACGTCATTGGTGATAGCCATGGGTATGAGTCAACAAGCACCCCTCCCTATTTTCGTCCCGGTCCAGTTGAACGCAGCAAGAAACTCTTTGGCAAGGCGTCCAGCCATTTCATCATCATCGAAGTAGTCAATGAACCTGGCCATGGAACTATGGGATGACCAATGCTGTGGGGAAAATCTCGGGATTGGTGGTAGCGACGCCGATTAGATTCCAACACACCCGATGCCAAACCCCTCTCTGCATTCGGCCATGGGTGGTTGAACTCCAATCTTGATGGACTGTCAGCAACGTTGCTATGAGTGGGGACACGGCCAAGCCAGCGGCCAGTAATTTGAAGTCATGTTCCAATGTCACGAATCGCCTCACAGAAAGTTGGGATTTCGTTGTGGCACCCACTCCGTGTATGAAGGCACTGCGAGCGGCTTCATTGTCAAGGTAAAAAACGGGGACCCGGCAACTCGTTCATGCCACAAGCCCACTGCCAACACGGGCAAATTTTTCAACTCATAAATGGGATGCTTCGAGCTTTCCATCAGGGATTTCACAAGGGCTGAAATGGCCTTACCAAAACATTCGACAACTGTTCCTTGTGGACTTATGATCGCCGTCCTCGGCGCGCCGAAACACGCCCTTGTGCTCTTGCGGCGTCAGCAAGTCATGCCAAGCACATTGGGGTGAGTTGTCCAACTCCCAGGTCATTTTTTGCTGGGCTGATGAAACACTTCCTGGCTCTCAGATACCAATCTGAAACTGTAAGCTTTTAACTGGCTGAGCATATTACAAAAGAGATTGCTCAGAAACCCATGTTTACCTATCATTCACCAGTTGGTTTACCCACTACTACCACTCATACTAAACTGGTTGGTGGTTTCAGCCCCTGAAAAATATGAAAGTCAATGGGAAGGATTATCCAATATATTATGGAAAATAACGCATGTTTGAAACCACCAACCAGTAAAATTAGCGTTGCGATCCCCATTTCTTTAAGGGCGTTGAGATCCCCATTCAGTTGCTGCGACCCTGCGCTTGGATCATTGGTGAACTCCCATCACTGCTGGGTAAATCCTCATCCACTTAGTTCTGTTTAAGCACAACCCTTCTTGCTGGGTGAATCATCCTCCGATTTTTTTACCGGTCTATCCGATCTATCCCTATCTTTTGCTGATCGAATCTGAAATTCTTGGCCAAAACACCGTTTTTCATGGTAAAAACGCAATTTTCCATGGCCAAACCACCATTTTTCATGGTAAAAACACAATTTTTCATGGTAAAAAACATCCCCATCCAGTTGGCGCGGTTCCTTACCGCGCCTGACCGTGACCATGTCTCCGGTGCACATGTCACGGAAGTCATAGCAGGTCCACATTGCATCGTGTCCTGGATTCCACCATAGGAAGGGGCTTCAGGAAGGGGATTCATCAAGAAACATGGGGATTTAACTCGGATTAACCAACAAACCATGAAGATTTATATGGGATTTATATGTTCTTTTTAACCAACGAAGCCAAGCCTTTTCTATAGGGACATAGCGGGTAGAACATGGGATATTTGAGGCCTTCGGAGCCGGTTATTTGGGGTAAACTAAACCTTCCATTGAATGTTGATGGGACATATCTGGGTAGATGAAAATGGAAAACTTTCAATGGAAAATAAAACCCAGGATAAACATACCCAGGATCTGGACATATTCTATTTCACTGATCTGAACACTTCGGCTGGGATAATTCATGAGAATCATCTCCACGAATTACATCACCTATGGTGAGGGAGAACAGTGAGGTCGAAAAAGATTTTGACCCAGATTTTAGCACCAAATATGATGTTAGGGTGTGAGCATGGTGGATTTAGCCCAACATCTATGGTCATTTTCAGTGGGAAAAGGGTGATCCACTGGTTTTTGGCTACAGCTATCACCAACAGGAAAGTCACCTTGGAAAGCCGACTTTACTGGAGATGAATTCCAACAAAAACAACTCATAAAACTAAACAAAATAGCACCGCTATTTAAACCCAATTACAATAAACGCATCATTTTGGGCATGGTTTGATGATAGTCTTGGGGCTGGCTTACTATTGGCTTTCACACCCAAAAAATGGATCGATATCTCTCACAGTTCCACCCTCAAAAAGTGCCGACTGTCGGCAGGGGAACGTTGATGCACAACTTTTGCATGTTTGCCCTGGATGGGACTTTCTCGCTTTCCCATAGCATCAAGGGATAGTAAGTGGGATGGCCAAATCACACAATCACAAACCGCCCCGTATGCGTTTCGCCGATACCGCACTTTTTGGAATGAGATTATTTGTGGACAAATTACATCCTCAGTGGCTTATGTGGTATTATAAACCCTATGATGACTTTTGATATCAACCAGTATTATAAAAGATCATAGTTTGAAACGGTAGGATCACACCTAAACAGAGATGATATCAACAACGATTTTCTGTTTGGGTTGATCCAATTGAAATTGAGCAGTCAAAACCTGCAACGTCGGACCCATCATGGATTGCGACGTCCAATGATTATATCGGATCGTACAACCCCAGAACCAATCATCAATCAATCATCCTTTATGTATCCTTTATCAATGTGTATCCATCATTATCCATCTATATCCACAGATTTATGATCTTCAAAACCACGAAAATTCATGTTGAACCAAACTAATCATCAACCAACAAGGCTAAAGGTAGCCACTGCTCCTGCGAGTCGTTCCAGTTGAAGACGTTTGGGCATCGGCTGCTCTCGATGTTCCAACTTTACCTTGGCGTTGTCTATGAGAGAGGGACGCCACCAGGTCCCTTTCTGAATAATATTGGGGGTAGAATAAATCCCCGATATAGAATCATCTGCCAACTGGGGTTTTGAACACTGCTCAATTGATTTTCAGCACCTGCAAGGTGAGGGGTTCAACCCATCTGAAAAATATGCTTGTCATTCGGCATCATCATCATCATCATCACCATCATCACCTCAGTCATATGGCATGGTTTAAAGTTAAACAATATTAATAAAAACGCAAACCATCATCCCAGTACATCTCCATCAAACACCAGATTTGTTGGTCATATGCCACCATTTTCTCTCGCTATTCTTTGCTGGAATAAAATCCTCCACTGTTACATCATGTTGAGTCCCAGCAAAAATACTACGCATAAATAACAAAGTATCACATATCCCCAAAACCGTGTTGGCAGTTTTCATCCCGAAATCCCATGAAAATCCACCATTTGCAATGGTGAACTCCCATTAAACCCCATTTGTTAATGCTGAAATCCCCCAAAAACGAACAAATCACGATTTTTTAATGGTGACATCCCGTGAAATCTCCAATTTCAATATTTTTAATGGTGAAATCCAATTAAAACCCAGCATTTTGGTACGGTGAACCTCACCTTTCCATCTTACCATGGGGGCCAAGGCACTGGCAAAAACTCTTCAGAGGCCATGGTGACCTCATGGCGATCCATTGTGATGGGCGAGGTCGTCTTCTTGTTATGGTTTATAGTTGTTAAACGGCCATCCATTTTTTTAAATGGTTGTACTATGTTGTAATCATGGGTTATATAGTTTTTAATGATTATGTTTATAGTTGTTACCCTCTGGTAGATGAATAGTTCGACCAGTTCGACCCTGAAAATGTTACCCATTTTTAGTGCTTTCACTAATCTTCCAACCCCTATCTGGCAGGGTCTATGTTAATTCACCGGAGGGTATGTTTAATTAGTGATGTTCTTCATCGTCATCCATCATTAACAAAAACAATGTGGCGGGTAGAAAGCCAGGGCCCCCCCATATCCCAACTGGTTGGTGGTTGATCTACCCCTCTGAAAAATATGAGTTCGTCAATGGGAAGGATGAGATCCCATATATGAAATGGACAATAAAACATGTTTGAAACCACCAACCATATATATATATATATGAATGATGTAAATCTATATATATATATATATATATCTGTATATTATGTGTATAAATAAATACATACATACATAAATAAATAAATATATATATATATATTATATACACGGATGTACGTAGTAATTAGCATAGTTCTGGCACGTGCCATTTTTCTCACCTCAACTGCACCAAGTAAAGGGTACAAGCGATACTTGGCGGGGAAGCTGGTCCCATTGGCAGGTGGTTCAAAGGACGAAAGCACTGGGTGAATCGTTGACCATCCATTTCTTTATAGTCACCAATAGTTAATAGGAAAAGTTACCATAGTTACTATTGGGATCCCAATATATAGTTATAGTTATCACAATAGTTACCAATGGATAACAACTTTATAGTTATCCATAGGAATCCCAATAGTTACCAATGGAGAACTCACCAATCCATGGTCATTTGATAGTCCGCCAAAGAATTCTCATCTTTTGGTTATAGTAAGTTACTTGGTGGCTCATCCCACTTAGTAAGTGGGTTATAACCCCAGTTATAGGTGGACTAACCCTACTTGTTCCATTTTTATCTGGGGTTATAACCCACTTACGAGCCGTGGGATGAGCCACCAAGTAGTTTCCAACAGCAAAAGACTCAAGGATTCAACTACCCGAAGGGGGATGAGCTGATTGAATCCATACTTCGGCTGCTTAAATCCTGAATCAGAATGGTTTCATTAGAGGTCAAATCGCTATTTCAGCTGGTTTAATGCTGCTTAAATCAGCATTTTTGGCTGCTGAAATCAGCATTTTTTGCATTTTTTCTAGGTAATTCACCATTTTTCCTAGTTCGATCCCCCTTTTTTTCCAGCCGTTCCGCCGTTGTTTCCGAGGCGCAGCAGTGAGGACAGAGCCTTGACTCAGGCCGCACTGCAGAATCTTGGCATCGAAGCGGGCGGCTAACTCCACCTGGATTTCGATGGGATGGGGGACCAACCAATGGGATATCATTGGTATGTATAAATGAATCTGGGATATCTATACTGGGATATTTGATGATATATATATATAACCAATAACAGGATAGTGGTTATATAATGGGATATTCATGGGATATTAATGGGATTCATAACCAACCATAGTGGGTTGGGATATAACCAACCATCACGGGACATATAACCAACCAATCTTGATATTTTAGTGGCTATCCAGATGTTGATCATAAGACTAATAGGAGATACAATATTGCTGGTATATTAAAGTTCAAGGGGATATAATGGAATCTAATGGGATAAGAATCGGAGAAAAATGGGATTTAATAGGATATAAAAGCAACCATAATCATAAAACTACTGAGACATCGTAAATGGTTGATCCTGATATGGTTCATCTGGTCCAGTTCATATTCTTGATTGTTCTTGGGTATTCTTAAATATTACCCTCTGGTAATTTAACATAGCTATTGAAAATGGTCATTTATAGTGGATTTTCCCAATAAAAATGGTGATTTTCAATAGCTACGTTAAATTACCAGAGGGTACCTTGAATGAAGACAACTAAATTTATACTCTTAATACTGTCGAAGGATAACTGTCTGGCTGAACAAAATTCGGGATTTCCAGCGCCCCATGTTTGATTGCCGGAGGCTAATTTGGATGAATGGTTACTAATCCCAATGTTAACAGGGGTTAATCGGATATCAATGGGTCAATGATTTATAAGTGAATCAACCATAGCGATAAACAATGTGAAATGATGAAGCATTGACACTATTGATTCCATCGGCTATTTCTTACAATATGAATGGATAAGGATCACTCATTGATGGCTCTTAATCCCGTTATTTTTCTAAGGGATCGTCAACATCCCAACATCTTCGCGTCCCATTGGCCCATTCGCCCCATTGGCCTGGATAACTAACTAATTCGCCCAGCTGAATCCAGGCCATGACTGACCATTTTGAACCTTTAACGGTTTTAAGCGTTTGTATCATTCATCCAGTGATCAAGTAACCATTGGTGATAGGTGAATGGTATTGACGGGTGGTATCTATGATAGAGGCGAGCTCATGATGGTTGCTGTTAGTTTAAGTAGATAATGGGATTCAAATAGTAGTTGATGGGATTTAATATGTTTAAATAGTATTTAATGGGATTCAAATGAAGCTTAATGGTAAATGATTTAAGTTTAAATAATGGCACTTAGCGGTAGTCAGGATATCGAATTTGTTGAACTTCCTGTTTGTTGAGTACCAGGAAATGGGTCCTGTTTTTACCTACTGGAACTGGCAAAAACAACAAGTAACAAACCAGGTATTTTACACAATACCTCGCCTGCTTTTTGCAGGGAGATAACCATAACCATTACATTTCTAAAACGATGTGGGATACAACATCTTTGGCAGTGGTGTTAATGGAAATCTGTGACCAGTTGGGTGTGCCCCAGATTTGGGTCATGGTACACCTTTTTGACTCTCAGTGGAAACTGATACCCTCTGGTGAACACACAAAAAACTATGGAACATCACCATGCTATTAATGGGTAAATCCACTATAAATCACCATTTTCAATAGCTGTTTTGACATAACCAGAGGGTTTTTTCACAGCTCAACCAGTTGTGGATTGCAGCCATAGCTGGAGACTCAATCCACTCCGGCTTCGCCGGTGGGCAAAATTCACTTACAGTATATGTGGTGATATCCCAAGTATTAGATATGGTTAATTAATATTGTTAATATATGGTTAATATATGGTTATTATATGGTTAATGATGGTTAATCACAATCTAATAATCATATCCAGAGTTATAGGGGTGATATCCCAACTTATGGGGGTTCTTAGTATAGCTATACCCATAATAAAACCACCCCAACTGCACAAAGACAAACCATTTCTAGATTACCATCCCAGTTTTGCTGACTGAACAATTATCGTCGATTTGCCCACGTTTAGCCACTAGATCCCATCCGTTTTCCTGGTTGGTGGTTTCTTTCCCATCTTGAAAAATGATGGAGTGAAAGTCAATGGGAAGGATGACATCCCATATATGACATGGAAAATAATCCAGATGTTCCAACAGGATGGTGCCCCTCAGTTATAAGTTGGTTTATAAACCCCATTAACTATAGTTATATCTGCCATAAACCATAGTTATGGGAGTTATAAACCAACTTAGCTAACTATGGGGCACCACCTTGAAACCACAAACAAATTTCCATTTTTAGATGAAATGCCTCTGTTTCCAATGGTAAACCGCTGTCCCCCACCAAAGCTTCATCCGCTCTCCCAGCCTCTTCCCGAAAGAGGCGCGTCAGTTGCCTAAGCGGCAACCGTTTGACTCGAATGAAAACTTTGCTTTATGGATGTTTTATGGTAGATACATCAGATATCAATAGTATTTTTGGGGTTTAGGAAACAAACATCAATGGGTCTCATTTATTTGTAGATGTTTTTCCTATCAAAAAAAGCAAGAACAATTATATTCCATAGCATTTGGAACCGTTTACCCTTTGGTACATGATTTACCTATTAAAACATAGCGACGTTAGTGATATTCCATATTTGTTTAATTTGCATCCAAAATTGTATGGCTAGCACTAAAAACAAGCAACATCTGTAGGTTGGGAGATCTCAAACTGAAACTCATACCGAGCTAGGGAATATCTTAAAGGAATCATTTTGGAACACCCTCTGGTAAACTAACATAACTATGAAAAATCACCATTTTTAATGGGTAAATCCACTATAAATGGCAATTTTCAATAGCAAACTGTTAGTTTACCAGGCCGGGTATTTTGGAATACTTGAAGGCACAGCAGGTTTTGCTCTCGTTGAGCAGGTCAGCTCAAGTGTGCGTCCTTCATCCTCACCTGCCACCAGTGAAACGCCTGGTGATTGGCACATCCAACATATCCACCCATCTGGGAGGACTACTGGCCGGTAGTGTCTATCTGGTTTTTTACTGTAGTGTTTCACCAACGTAAAATATACCCTCTGGTTATTTAACATAGCAATGGTATAGATGGCCCATAGAAATAGATGGTTTACCGATTAATAGCATGGTGATTTTCCAGTTCGCGAACTGTTAGTCATAACCAGATGGTAATCCTTTTTTGGAGAGTTGCCCCAATCCTAACCATCTGTCGCAGTGAGCCAAAATCTGGATCCCGATGGCACATAGACCAAAGCACACTAATAGATGGCAAACAAACTTCATGGGGTCGAGCCATCTAATCCCAGCGAGTAGGTGTCTGGTCCCCCCTATGTTATCTTTAGATATCTTTCTAATTGGTGGTTTCTCTCCCATCTTGAAAAATGATGGAGTTCGTCAATGGGAAGGATGACATCCCATATATGAAATGGAAAAAATGTTTGAAACCACCAACCAGCTTTAGTAAACCACCCTGGATTTGGGGTTTCTCGAATTGGGGGGTAGAAACCTTCCAACCTGGTGACTCTGTTCCGGAACTCCTGGACCGCCGAATCTATGTCGTTGTTGCTTTGGAATCCACAGCGTCAAGCCATGAAGGCTGTTGGGAATAGATTGATTCAGGGGAACATTTACATGAAACCATGGATAGCCTCCGGTAAATTAACATAACGAACTGGAACATCACCATTTGTCATGGGAAAACTCACTATAAATGGTGCTTTTCCATAGTTATTTTGACATAACCAGAGGGTACTTCACCATGGATTCCCATGGATATTTATGGCAAAATACAGGAACATCAAAGAATGCGATCGTTGTTTCTGCTTCAACCAGCCAGCAATTCTACTTGTCTGTTCATCATTGTTGCGGGTCGAATCTTCATGAATCAACGCAGAATTTTGCTGATCAAATCACCATAAAATGGTGGCATCATCCCCTGAAAAAATGTTCTTTTCTGAACTCACCATGAAAATTTCTGATGCAACTCATCATTTTTCTAAACACACCCATGTATCATATCAAGTTGGGTACACATTCCATGAAACTATCCCCACAAAATAGTTGGTTACACATCCCCAAAATTTTGTTGATGAATCCCATGAAACGGATTTTTGATGATTAAATCTCGTGGATCACTCTTTCGGCCGTTGAAAAATCCCATTAAGATACTATTTCGGATGCTTAAGAACCATTGTAAACTATACTCTTTTGGTCATTTTTGGAAAATTCAATGGCCAAAACCACTATTTTGGATGGTGAACTCCCATCGACTCACCATTTTTCCCATGGCTTGTCGACGCACGTCGCCCAGTTGCGGAGGCATCCCCAAGGCTTTCTCCACGCTTCGCCGTAAATCCGCCATGGTCGCCTCCTGTTTTGGGTTAGCCAAGTGACTTGGGACTTAGTGGGATTTAATGGGATTTAGCTGATTTAATGGGACTTAATGGGACTTTGGGAAACCATGAAGTCTAATGGGATTTTTCATGGGACTTACTTTGGGGGGTTGCTATAGGATTTCCAAACGTTTAATTAGACACTTCGATTTCCAAATATGTAGATGCGTGGGATTTAATGGGGTAAAAACGGAATAACATAATATAATTGTTTTGGAATCAAAGATTATAAGTATTGATAATTGCAGTAACCAACTGAATGAGAATTTTCTATAGACTTAATGGAATGTAGTTGCTTTTGGAATCAACAACGATAATTATCGATAATAGAATCATGGAGTTGAACGGAGTCGATACCATATAATTGTTAATCAGCAAATTTAGCAGCAAAACATAAGGGAAATTGCCATCAAGAAATAGGAAACATGAGATATAGAAATATGTCTACCACTAATTTATGGTTGATCGTAGGATAATCCTGGGATATATTAACAGTACATACGCCCCCAAGATAGCTAAGTTGCCTTATAAGTGGCTTAACTATGGTTTATGGTAGATCTAACTATAGTTAATGGGGTTTATAAACAAACTTATAACTGGTTATATAAACCCAACTTGGGTTTATTGGGAGGTTACTTTTTATCCAACGTCATCCCAATTTTGGGTGTATGCAATTTCCGAAACCGCGATTGGAGAGGTTCTACTATTCGGTTTGCCTCATTACCTCGTTATAGCAAATACACCAGTTTGCTGCGATGCTGTTTCTTCACATGATTTGTTAGTTTTTTATTCTGACATGGGTTACCATCCGGTTATTCAACGTAGCTATAGAAAATCACCATTTTTAACAGGTAAACCATCTATAAATGGGCCATTTTCCATGGCTATGTTAAATAATCTGTAGGGAATTAACTCATCAACGGAGCGCTAGTAAAATCTCCAAGGTTTCTCTTATGGTTTTTACTCATCAGAAAGGTCAACCTTTAGTCCCCAAAGCATGTGAAATCACGTTTTTTGTTGGTGAATTCATCCATGTTCAATATTTCTACCATCTGGTTATTTAACATAGCCATGGAAAATCCCTTATAAATGGAGGTTTATAGCTGGGAAAATCATCTATCAATGGGCCATTTTCCATGGCTATGTTAAATAACCAGAGGGTATATATTGCAAAGTTTTGGTTGATCATCCATAATTTTTCATTTTTTCCACCATAAAAAGCCACCTCCATAGAAGATTTCCCATTGATTATAGGTGGTAGACTACAAGGCCCCCCAGTGATGTTTTGCACCGAGTTCCATACATCAAAGCCATAAACCATAGAATTCACCGAGTTATTTGCACCTCACCTTAGCTAGCATAATATTTGGGACCTCACCAAAAATATCTCATGATATATTTCCATTCTATCCAGATGACAGATGAAGAAATGGATGAGACATAAAATGCCCATCTATTCAGATTATGTGGAAACACTTGAACAACTCATCTGGTCACAGAAAAACCGCAGCATTTTGATGCCTGAAACCCCCATAATTTGCTATCCTTTTTTATATGGAATAATCATAAATTGGTATCATAAATCCGTCCATTTTTACATCATCATTGGGATTTCCCGGATCCTAAGCATGATTTATGGTCAATTTTAGGGGATTTTGTGTTTTTCTGATTTGGGTGTGTCTGAAAATGGACAGTAGCACCAATTTGCCATTTTTCATTGGAAACATGATGATTAACCATGGGATTTGGGGTTAATTACCCTATTTTAAGACAAACCCATTTGAAACATCCACATTTCATGCACCGCGCAACGCGCGCAACGTATGGCGGCAACGCGAAGCGGCGCCTGGTTGATGGTAATGGCCACCTCGCGTCCCGAGAGAAGCCGAAGGACTAGGAGGATCTCCACGGCCTTTTGGGAATTCGAAGTGGATATGGGGCTGGGCTGACAACTTGTTGGTGGTTAATTAATATGGTTAATATATGGTTATTATATGCTTAATGATGGTTAATATATATATATATATATTGATATCATAGAAATAGATGGTTTACCTATTAATAGCATGGTGATTTTCTATAGCTATGTTAGTCATCACCAGAGGGTAAACCAACTATGATAGTATCGTGCACCAGTTGGTGGTTTATCCCATTATTTATAGGGAAATCTATGGAAATCTGAGATCATATATGATATCTGGTTGGTGGTTGAGCCTACCCTTCTGAAAAATGATGGACTTCGTCAGTTGGGATGATGAAATTCCCAATATGATGTGAAAAATGAAATTAATGTCCCAAACCACCAACCAGTATATATATATATCACATTAATCACCATTGATCAGCAATCACCATGAAAATCACCATCATTAGTCACCATGGAAATCAGCAGTCGTAGTAATCACCATGAACATCACTATCATTAAGGGTATTACCGGTATTACCATTTATCACTGGTTAATTAATCACCAGAAAATCGCCATCATGCGGGATGGGCGTTCCGTTGGTTGGATAGCGTTCAGTTGCCTGAAAAAAGTGGCCGAATTCGATTGGGTTTATGGCAGATATAACGGACTAACTAGTTTTCATGGATGTTTTGGATGCTTTCATGGGGTTTATAAACCAACGGGGCGCACCATCCTGTACGATATGAAATGGAAAACATATGCAGGTTGATACATATATATATAAGATAAGATTATAGATTGATAGATGGATCTTAAGCCATTCATGATCAAAGCATGATCTAACAGGTCTATAATGGCATTATATACATAATCGTTTGAATAATTCATAGAGGATTTGATTCATAATTATAGCTGGGATTTAAAATAGAATGCATGGAAACTTTATCATGGGGTATACAGTCCCCCCCAAAACGACGCCGATTTTAGTGTTTCCAGGATGATAGTTCGGTGATGTTTTCCTCCTAGTTTACAAGTTTCAACTCTTCGATTTTTTTGGAGGGGGTGACGATCCAAAATCAGCAGTTGTGCCGAAGGTAAATTGATAAGGTTAGAACTAGATCAAAAATCATTGGCGAATTGGCTACTTCAGCTTCAGCAAATGCGCCAATTCATGTACCCGCGGGTCTTCCATACCTTTGCTTCGTATTGAAATGAAGTTCAAAGCCTGAAAAATCCTAAATTTTGAAAATAATTCCTTTTAAACAACAAAAATCTCTTCCAGGACAAGAGAGTTTTTCACCAAGCTGCGGTTGTTTTGGGGCTGGGTTCGTTGCTTTTGGGACAGTTGAGAACTGAAACTTGTCCTGAACGGAAGGTTTGAAAGACCAACTCTTCAATGGGCTATCATAACCCAGATACAAGGGCGGTGAATAAGGTGAATTAAGAGGTACACATTTAGCCACCTTGTGGCTATCATGTACCCACAATAGGTAGGAGCAACCCTGGTTATAGTGGGGTATGACTTACTTACATCTCCTGCGCTCCTCTATGCAGCCCCTTGCGACAGCCACCTGAGCACGAATTTCTCATGAGCCTATGGTCCTACAACGGACTCTCTAACCACAACCATAATTCAGGATATCAACCTTTCGGAATGCCCCGTTTCAACATGGCCAATCTTAGATACCCTGCAAAGAAGCTATTTTTTTTGTTGCTAGTTAGGACAGTTAGGATTCACATCCCCAAAAATACTACTGAAGCATGTTGATTCCCTACTTTTAAGATTCATCGTCCCACTATACAGCCAAAAGCATCCTATTAAAGCACGCTTGACCAAGGTTCCCCTCAGTTTCTATCTGATCCCATTCCCCATCCGCAGCGGCTGTTGCCTGGGGGATCTCCTTTTGATCTAAAGCCATGTTGTCCTGTGACGAGGACGAGTTACTTCCATCGCTCTCGTCCTCGGAATCGGATAGAGCTGGCTGCAGCTGAAGCTTCGCAGACATCTTTGCGATCTTGAATTCTTCAAACTGGGTGCTTGGAATTCTTCAAACTGGGTGCAAATCATCTTGGCGTTCATGGTTTTACTCAGTTTTACTCTTGGAGATGGATCCACCATGCAAAGTCATGCGAATTCAACTTGCACCATGTTTTGCCACATTTCATTGCCAATCTTAGATACCCTAGATTTTCCAAGACTGGATTGGTTTGTATCCATCTCAGATTAATCTAGATTTCATCTAGATTTCTCTCCAATTCTGCGGCATTTTCCTCAGTCTCTGGGTTTCCCCACCATAGGTCGCTACCGTGGCATGGATTTTCCACCCCGCCCCACCGGGTCCACCGGGTCCCAAGCGCCGCCCGAACGCCCTCCCCGCCCTTGCCGCACCGGTTCCGGTGCTGTGGGGGTACCGGGTCGGGTCGGGCCATAAGCCAAAATGCTGAGGCAGTTTCCCAAGGTCCCTTGGGGAACACATCACTTACCATCTGGTTATTATGACTAACAGTTTGCCATGGAAAATCACCATGCTATTAATAGGTAAACCATCTATTTCTATGGACCATTTTCCATGGCTATGTTAAATAACCAGAGGGTACGTTGCAGTGATCAAACATGACTTATTTTTCTGGAGGTTTGGTTCAAAAAGCTGGGACAAAAAAGGAACTTCATCGAAGTAAATGGGGGCTCGTCCGGCATGTTTGATGACCAGAAGGTAGAATAGTTATGAATAGTTGTTCTTTATGGATGCCTCCATTCATCTGGAACAAAAAAGGATTCGACTTGGTGATTCTTTTTGGGTCCCATTGCTGTTCATGCTGGATGTCTGAGGAAAATTCCTCCATTTTTCTTCGCTTCGGAAATAATGTTCGATCCCTTGACCTCGTTTTGCAACGCCGAAGTGCCTCGTTTTTTCAAGCCAAGCCACCTCGTTTTGAGCCTAATTCAGGGTTAAAGGAGAACGTATTTCCACCAGAAGACTGTACATGTCAAATAAAAGCGGCTGCGATTCTATTTTTTCTATTGTTGATTCTCATTTGGTGTAACCCTGAGTTGATAGAACCGTTAGAAACGTGGATAAACATATTCGAATAGTTTTTGTTGATCTAATTTTCAGTTTTGGTGGTGAAAACCCGATAAATCTGTCGGTTCAAGGAAGTCATCCAAAAAATGGGCTTGGCTATCCAACCATTCAAGACTTGGCTTACTGGTAATTTAACATAGCTATTGAACATGGCCATAGAAATAGTTGATCTACCGAACTTAGACATTGTGTTTTTTTATAGCCGTGTGAGTTTACCAGGGGGGAGCCACATTTTTACGAAACTCCTGACGCACCGCGGCGGGTTTCTGATTTTTTGTCGGCACGCGCTGGGCGCTCTTCACCTCATGGGGTATGGCCATCCCAGCAGGGGTTCCTTTCAATAATTGATGGGAATTTTCACCAACGGTAAACCAACTAATTATGAGGGAAATCCTGCACCAGTTGGTGGGTTGGTGGTTTATCCCATTATTTATAGGGAAATCTATGGAAATCTGAGATCATATATGATATCTGGTTGGTGGTTTTTCGCCCTACCCCTCTGAAAAATCATGGACGTCGTCAGATGGGATGATGATTATTCCCAATATATGGAACAATAATCCATTCATGTTCCAAACCACCAACCAGAGATACCCTCTGGTAAACTAACATAGCTATTGAAAATGGCCATTGAAATAGTGAGTTTTCCCATCAAAAATGGTGATTTTCCATATTTTTTTGTATGTTTACCAGAGGGTAATGCTTAAGACACCCCAAAAAACTGGTGGATGTCCACATGTTCCATGGACATCTGAGCGTCCACACCGATGCGCGGAGCTTTGACATCGTGAAGAGCCACCTGGAGACAGAGGAAATGCCAGGAGCTTTGCACAGGAAAATCTGGGTGGTTCAACCCAGTACAAGGTGGTGCCCCACAGTTAGCTAAGTTGGTGAACATAACTCTCATTAAACCTATGGTTTATGGCAGATATAACTATAGTTAATGAGGTTTATAAACCAACAAACATCACTGGGGGGCAACATCCTGTATAGTAAGGTCATCATTGGGCTATACAGGGATAACACTAGCTGGTTGGTGGTTGAGCCCTACCCCTCGGAAAAATATGAAAGTCAAATGGGATTATTGTTCCCAATATATGGAACAATATAACATGTTCCAAACGACCAACCAGCAGTTAATAATGAGATATAATGAGACAACTGGTTTATAATGGGACACACCCCAGTAGATTATACCAAAATAAGTGGACTAACCCTACGTACCCAACAGGGAAAAACTTGGTATCCACTTACGAACTAGGATGAAACACCAGGTAAATAATTTGATTTACTGTATGATGTTTGGATGTGTTTCCCATTTAGTTTTTGCGGTTTATCCACATATAAACCATATAATTCTATATAATCCAGCGGGGACATTCCAGTAATCTAACTGGGGGTATAAACCAATTACTATGTGGGGCCTGCATTTGCAATCGGGCATGGTGATGGTCAGATTGACTTCAGAAGCTTCACGGGATACGCAAAGAAATTCGTTCACATAACAATCACTGAATTTCCACATTTGGTTTGCAAACTAAATGAATACACACTGGTTGGTGGTTGAAGAACCCCTCTGAAAAATATGAAAGTCAGCTGGGATGATGAAATTCCCAATATATGGAAAATAAAAAATGTTCCAAACCACCAACCAGCACATAATACACATGATACTTACCACATTGGCAAAGCCAATCATCCACCTCCCAATTCTTATCTTGGATTTGCTAAATAGGGCTTTCTAAAAAACCTATAGATTCAATGCTGAATTTCCCGTGTTCAATGCTGAATTTCCCGTGAGGAAAACAATCGCCCTAAACAAAACATGGTTGGATGGTGTTTTCTTCAAAAAAACCTATAGATTCACCAAACGCTGAGTTTCCCTAAGTGTTGGGAAATGTTTATACCCTTTGGTTATTTAACATAGCCATGGAAAATGGCCCATTTATAGATGATTTTCCCATTAAAACCTCCGTTTATAAGGGATTTTCCAGTTCGCTATGTTGAATAACCAGATGGTAAGTTGGTTTATAACCCCGTCTAAATATAGTTATGTGCGTATCATACACCAACGTGTTATTATAGTTACAAACCAACTTAGCTAAACCATCCATTAAACTATAGGATTTCCATTACCTAATCTTTTAAGCCTATAAAAGATTAGAATCCTTTAGATTTCCCCAATGGATCCCATTAATGGATATATGGATGGATTAGAAACCTATTAATGGATGGTTTCTTTTAGAAATGGGTCCCCTGCGTCACCTTTTCTGAGGATCCCGGGCGGCCAGTCCAGCGCTGGCCAAATCGATGAGGGCATAGAAAGGCCCTTGCGGATTGGAGACCTCGTGGCCATTCAAACTGGGGATGTTCTAGACATAAGTAGCGTGATCTAAATTACATGTATATATAATGCATATATATATACACATATCTGTGCATATAAATGTGTATATATATATATGAACATATATATATATATGTATACAGTAATATCTGTGCATATATATGTGTATATAAATATATATATGTACATGTACATATATATATGTATACAGTAATATCTGTGCATATATATGTAAATGAATATATATGTACATATATATGTGCATATGATGTCTGTAAATAAATAAATATATATATATATGTATATATATATATGTATTAATATATTTACATTAAAAAATCACATATGTATATATATATATATGTATATATATGTATATATATATATGTATATATGTACATGAGTATATATGTACATGTATGCATAAATACACATAAGATAGAAAGATATATATATGTATATATATATATATACATGTATATAAATAAATAAATATATATATATACACATCTATATATATATATATGTATCTGCATATATATACATACATACATACATACATACACATATATATATACATACATATACATATATATATATACATACATACACACATATATAAATAAATATACACATACATATACACATGCATGCATGCATGTATGCGTGTATGTATGCGTGTATGTATGCATGTACGCATGTATGCATGTATGCATGCATGCATGCATGTATGTATGTATGTAAAATATGCAGCTGTCCAGGGGGTTGACATTGTTGAGTTGCACCTTGTCAGCCAATTTCTTTGGAATCTCCAGCTTGTGCTGCTGTGCGGACAAAATTGTCAATTCCCAAGTCTCAGCAGCGAAGAGTCGATAGATCTTAGTCTCTTTGGTTTGCCCTGGTCTGAAAGCTTGGAAGCTCTCTGGCTCTCCGCGTCGCCACCGTCACAGCTCGTGAATGCTGCTGTCGCATCCAGCAACCGCTTTAAAACTGGGTTGTGGAGTTGAAGTGAAAAAAAACCATTGCAGCTCTGGGAAATGATGAGATTTCAAGCTCTTAGAATCCAAACACTATATTCCATCAATCCGCCATGCCACTGATTTTCTAGAATTTCAACCTTGAATGACAAAACTGAGTGACAAAAAACAACCACGCGAACAAAAGCCAACTTTGCGCCGAAGTTCATGCATTGTTTTAAACCAAGTATCATGTTGAAGAAACACCGCAAACAATCGCAATAAAATACAATGAAACATGACATTTTATGATCTAAGGCCAATTCGAATTAATTTGCCTTCTGGGGAACCCCCAGCCTTTACCCTATATATACATATGTACACATATGTATACATTATACACACAATTAAACGCATATATGTCTATAAATGACAATAAAACGTATGTATTATACAATATATATATAATAATAATAATAAATAATAATAAATATATATATATATATATACGTACATAAATCACACGCGCACACATAATCGAAGGAAGTTTAGAAGTCAAACTTCCGACAATATGGAGAGATGAAAAGCAGAGCAGGGAAGAGGCATAGAGAAGAGAAAGATCAGAAGAGAAAGACTAAGAGGACAGAAGATACAGATGCGCGAAAAGGTAGGAAAGTCGCGAAACACTGTGTTTTTCCAATGATTTGTGGCTCCGGAGGGTCGAAAAGTAGGCTCGCTAAAGCGGCGGGTGCGGAGCCAGCTGGCCAGAGGAGAGATGAAAAATTGCAGGCCGTTGTGGCGCGAAGCACATTTCCAAGTGAAAATGTACAAAACACACCATTCTCGGACCACTTTTGGAAGTGGCGACGTCGAAAAAGTGCACGCCGTTGTGGCGCGAAGCACATTTCCAAGTCAAAATGTACAAAACACCTCAGTGTCGGACCACTTTTGGAAGTTGAGATGTCGAAAAAGTGCACGGCGTTGTGGCGCGAAGCACATTTCCAAGTCAAAATGTACAAAACACACCATTCTCGGACCAC